TTCTTTAAGATGGGTACTTAGGATTAATTTTCAACCTTTTCTTTAAAATATTTACATGATAGGGTCATAATTTTCCCTCTTCATTTTTGCCTGCAGTAGACATATTTGATGTTATATTTTTATCATCAATTTTGAAATTTCTACTCAGTTTCTCCTGTGACCTATGTGTTACCTAGAAGTATATTAATTTTTAAATATTTGCAAATTTTTAGTTATAACTTCTATGAACTTTCATTGAAGTATGACACATAGAGAAGTACGCACATTGTACATGTTTACCTCAGCAAATTTTTCACAATCAGGTTGTTATCAACATTTAGGTCAAGGAAAGTAGTTTAGCCCCCGCTGCAAGCTTTGTTAGGTGTATATGCAGATACTTTTGCACTGAGAAGGACGAGCACTTCACAAGGTAAAACGTAATGAGGGCATCTGTGTATTTCTGTTACCCCACCGTGGGAGCTGGAGGAGGAAATGATCGTAGTGGTTTCTGAGGTGAAAAGAGCAGTAAATGGTGATGTGGCAGATGATGTCATAAGTGGTGTTGAATTTTATTAATTTTTCTGTAACTATTGACCATAACTATTTCATTAGCGTTTTTCTTCCGTAATAGAATTTAATCATTCTGGAGAATTAGTGGGAACTGGAGATGAAAGTGGCAGAGTCATAATCCTTCAACAGGAGCAAATGAACAAAATCTCATCTTAAACAGAAGGGAACACCATGTTTACGGTACCTTTCAGAACCATGAGCCAGAGTTCCACCACTTGAAAAGTTTGGAAAGAAACGAAAAAGTTCAACAAAACTAGGTGGTTACCTGAGAAAACTTCTGCTTAGTTTTGATTGTCTACCAATAATAAAACAATGAAATTATGTAAAGTCAGTGAAAGGGACAAAAGACCAGGAGGATGTAACTTGAAGAGGAAGGTGGCATGTGTAGAGAAGCTGCCATGGTCACTGCACTGTGAGTGCCAGTCTTTAGGCCCGTGGGTCGCGTGGTCAGGGTCACTCCACAGAGGGCGTCTGCCAGAGCTCGCACTCTTCATATCAACGCAATTCCTGCTACTAGTGATTTTGAAACATACTTATCTGCAGGTGATTTGCAGATTAAAATCAAATCTTTGGCATCTGGAAATTACAGACAGGAGTTTCAATATTGTGGCTATCAAGCCCGACAATGTGGAAAAGTTAGCAGATGCTTTCAGCCACAGAATTCCGTCTGAACAGCTGTCACACATCTGCATCTAGCAGCAGTAAAGGAACCATCCGATCATGTGACATGAGAGCGTCTGCTCTCTGTGATAGGCATTCTACACTGAAGAACCTGATGATTTCAGTAATGGGTTATTTTTGTCTGAAATACTCTTCTTTATTTATGATGTAAAATTCAGCCATAGTGGTCAAATATGAAGATAGATACCATTTGTTAGTCAAAAGTTGGAACTTCAATATGTAAAACACGGCCGGGTGCAGTGGCTTATGCCTGTATAATCCCAACACTTTGGGAGGCTGAGGTCAGGAGTTTGAGACCAGCCTGACCAACATTGTGAAACCCCATCTCTACTGACAATATCAAAAATTAGCTGGGTTCAGTAGTGCACCCCTGTCATCCCAACTACTTGGGAGATTGAGGCTGGAGAATTGCTTGAACCTGGGAAGCAGAGGTTGCAGTGAGCCAAGATCACACCATTGCACTCCAGCTGGGGCCATAGGGTGAGACTCCATCTCAAATGTGTGTGTGTGTGTGTGTGTGTGTGTGTGTGTGTGTGTGTGTATGGAAAATGCCTATGGAAATGTAACAGGTGCATGAGTAGCTCAGAAGTAAACCGCACTGTGTGAAAATGACCATATGTCTGACAAATTCAGTGTTGTTGGAATGGCTCTGACAGGGTTGTGACTGGGTCTTAACAGTAACCTCAGAATGTTTGACAGAAACACGAAATGAGACACAACCCTAGAAGTATCACGGGAAAACAGTAAGCTTTGCACAATTCTGAAGCCGTGCAAAGTCTGCAAGCAGCAAGCAAAAGAAGATGAAATCAGTGTTGACAGCCGAGACTCCAACAAAATCCTGTGTAAGCCTGGCACCCCATAAGCCTGGCACCCCAAGGAAAGTATCTTGCTATAGCCAGTACAATCTGTGTCTATTTCAAGACAGTAAATTAGGGCTGGCATTCCCAGCCAGAGAACCCCGCCTCCCGCCTGCCTGGGGTGGCTGGGTCAGCCTTCGTGACGATAAGAGCGCTCTTTGGCAGCGCCCCTTTCCGGCGTCTGACAGCAAGTCGCCGAGAGCACACCTTTATAGCTGCGTGAGGACAGCTCTGTGGACCCAGCGCTGCAGTGCCCCCGTTCCGCTGGCGCTGTCGGGCCTAGGGGCCTCGATGGGTCAGCACCAGCATTGATTTTCTCCACTAAGGCCTCCAGTCATGCTGTGAGGTTTAATTGTGTATGCTCCTTACTGTACCATTGTGGAGCACACACACCCCTTTAAGAACTAAATACAGAAAGAAAACATTAGCTTATGATTTTCCTAGGGATTGTGCAAACAATCTTGGCTTTAGAAGTCTGATGTAAATTCGATTTTCCTGGTGATGCGAGGACGTCAGCTCTCACCAGATTCCGCCTCTGCTGGCCTTTCCCACGTGCTCCTCCAGCCACACTGGCCCTCACTGCGCTGAAGCCCCACGGTGCAGTGCTGCCGTGGACAGCTAATACTCATGTAGATTTCCCTGTTTGCCTCTCTTCCCTGCTTCTCACTGCCTCCCAAATCTCCGTGCTTCTATCAGGAACTATTTTTCCTACCTACAGGGAATTCCTTTATTATTTATTTTAGTGCTGGGCTATTAGTGACAAATTCTCAGTTTTTGTTTGAAAAAACTGCCTCTTTTTCTTGAAGCTCGTTTCCTTAGACTTTAGAATTCTTTGTTGAAAATAAGTGTACCTTAGCACTTGGAAAATTGCAGCCCCTGGCTTATGGCTGGCTCTCTGCGACGTGAGTACTGGGGCTGGAGGAATGGCTGTCCGTGTTTTCCTGCTCAGGCCTCCTGAGGTCTGTGCATCCGTGCTGTGATGTCATTTGTTAGTTTTGTAGACTTCTTGGCTGTTCTGTCTCCACTTCATCTCCTGGACCATTCTGGGGTGTCTGTTGTGTAGAATGACTCAGTTCCCTTCACCCAGAAGGCAACGGAGCCAGATGGATCTGTGACGGCTTCTTCAGTCACTCCCATTTCTGGTCCATGGGGCCCTTGGTCTTGTTTTTGAGACATCTGTGTATTCGTAAGACACCTTAGATAACAGTGACAGTCCTCGCTCCATGTGCACCCCCATGGGCCACGCTCTGCTGGGGGCACTTTTCCTGTATTGTGTCACTTGGTGCTTGCCATGGCCGGGGGTGAGGGGGGACTGTTTCTGCTTCTGTTTTATACACGGGGAGACCGAGGTACGGAGGAGTTAGGTGAAGAACCAGGGTTGCAAGTGAAAGGTGTGCAGAGCTGGATTTAGGCTAGACTCCGAGCCCCTGACCCCTGACCCCTTGGATGCACTGCCTGTGCCTTTGCAGTTTGGTGTGTACGGGAGGGTGCTGTGCAGGAACTGCAACCCCATCTGAGCCAGAGCAGGTCTCCCCTCTGCTGGGTCTCAGTCCACCGTAGAGAGGAGCTCCCCTCCATGATGCTCTGCTTGGCCTCTGCCTCTGTGGGCCTGGGAGTGGGTTCTGGAGTGGATCCCAGGACCTGTTCACCTGCACTTGCCTTGGGTGTTAGAGCTGCTGCCTTAATCCTGATCTAAGCCAGTCTGTACTCTGTCTTTCAGAATTCCTCAGAGGCTGGTCGATTCAAGATATCATTTCCTGTTTTCTACCACAAATTGAGTATTTCTTCCTAAATTTAATTTTTCTATCATTTCAGTGAAATTTGGGGAACCACAGGTGGTAGATGGAGGGGCTCAGTGACTGTCTTGGCCCTCTACGCGCTCACCGTCCTTAACCACAGAATGGGAGGAGGCACGAGGCTCTTCCTACAGCTTGTCATTCTGGTGTTTGTCCCTTTATTTGTTTTGGTTTTGGGGTTGGTTTGTTTGTTTTTGGGTTTTTTTGAGATGGAATCTTGCTCTGTCGCCCATACTGGAGTGCAGTGGTGTGATCTCGGCTCACTGCAACCTCCACCTCCCAAGTTCAAGCAATTCTCCTGCCTCAGCCTCCTGAGTAGCTAGGATTACAGGCACCTGCCATCATGCCCAGGTAATTTTTGTATTTTTGATAGAGACAGGGTTTCACCATGTTGGCCAGGGTGGTCTGGAACGCCTCACCTCAAGCGATCTACCCACCTCAGTCTCCCAAAATGCTGGGATTACCGGCATGAGCCCCTTTTCTTTGGACTGCTTGAGATTCGGGCTCACGGCAGCTGCATGCCTGGGACAGCTGTCGCTGGGTGTTTGTGCCAATGTGGTCCTGGGTGGGGAAAGTCAGGGAAGGCCAGGGGCGTGAGGAGGTGAGGCAGGGCATGCCGTAGGCACTTTAGAAGGGAGTTGGGAGTGTCTGCATGAGGGCTCATAACCAGACACTGTTTCTTAAACCTGCATCCTTTCTTAAGGTCTTAGCTTGCTTTTTAAATAACTCAACATGTGCTTGTGACTACGTAGTGGTAAGTTACATGTGTCAACTTGCCATCATCCTGATCTCAGTATGTCTCCACTGTGCAGGAGGCTGGGCTGGAAGCCTTCACTCACCAAGAGCCTTCTGAGGAGGGAGCGCGTCTTTGTCCTAGCCCAAAGGGGCTCAGCAGCTACCAGGCGGCTCTGCCTCCCAGACCTCACCACTGCCCAGCCCAGCCCTCAGAGGGATGCAGCCAGGATGAGGGGCTGTCCCTGACAGGGCCCCTGAGAGGCCATTCACAATGTACTCAGTCATCTACAGCTAGTTCTAGGTCTTGAAGTACGGTTTTTAACTGGTGGCCAGAAGCATTTATTAGACGCAAGAAATGTAGAGTGATTTCTTTCTCTTTCAGACTGACTCAGATATCCAGGCATTCTTCATGAGCATAGACGGTCTGTGTAGGAAGTACTCCAGGGAGACCTCGAAGGTGAGTGTGGGAGGTGCGGCCTGGTTCTGCGGTGAGCCAGGTGCACTGCCCCAGGACCATGTGTTTTACATGTTCTGGAGGCAAGTTCCTTTGAAGATACTTCGTCAGCAATATTTTCTGCCAAAATCCTTGTGGGTTGCATGTTGACTTTCCTGGTGGTGATACATCTACATACAAAAGGTTTTGGTTTTGACAGAGCCCATTTGATCTATTTTACTGTCATTCGCGCATTTGGTGTGCGTTGAGACAAAGTGGTCTCGGTCAGCTCTGGGGTCCTTCGGTCAGCTCTGGGGTCGTTCCGTCAGCTCCAGGGTCCTTTGGGCAAGACACCCCCTCCCCATATTCACACCTTAGAATCTCAGGCTTGGGAGTCCTCCTCACAGGTCAGGGCTCTCTGGGTTCAGGGAAGCGGGTTTCTTCTTGACGCTGTCCTTTCCTGACAGTTACCCGGGCCTTCTGCCAGCCAGGCCTGCGATTCCCGCTGAGCCCCGTGTGGCAGTGTTGGCTCCATGGTCCCCATGCTGGCAGCTTTGCCAGCTGCTGTGCCGGTCCTCACAGCTGTGGCCTGTCCATCCTCTACCTGCTTCTTCCTGACCCTCTTCCCAGTCGGCACGCACCTGCATGCCAAGCCCCCCAACCCCAGCTGCCGATGCAGGTCATTGTCCTCTGTGCCCACCCACATGCTGAGCAGCAATTCAGGCCTCCTTGGATGTCACTGGACAGCTGCAGTCCACCAGTCTGGAGAAAGCGGCCAGGAGAGGAAGGGGTCTTTCCCCTGGCCCCTACCCTGCGCTTCCTTTCCTTCTGTGAAGAGTACAGATGCCACCGTTGGCCACCTCCCCTCTGCCTTGTGGGGAAAGAGGCCTAGTCGGGGCAGCCAGGAGCTGACGCGGGAGGCTGAGGAAGGACCCCAGCATGTCACTCCTTCCCAGGCTTGTGCCTTTGGGCTGTGGTCAGCCAGGTCACCAGGACTATCCTCTCTCTCCTCTGGTAGGCTGTCCTCCTATAGCAAGGCTCCTTGGTTACAAAACAGCCTGAATCACCCACAGTATCTCAGGCTGTCCTAGGGCTGTTCCCATCTCAAGGTATGCCCAGCCACATCCTCCAGGAAGGTGCTCAGAGGCTCAACACATGGAAGCTGAGCAGCAGCTGGAGATGCCAGAGAACACTGGGCCAGCACAGCAAGGCACCCAGACCAGGACACTGGGATCCAGAGCCCAGCCAGAGCCCATGGAAACACCATCCAGGACACACCTCGCCCGCCCACCTTGCTCCGTCCCAGCAGGACCCTCATTCAAGACAAGTCCCCTTGGGGCCAGAAGTCGCTGAGTTCATAAAGCACATACGTTATCACAGACATCAGAGCCACAGGCTCATTGCAGCGGCCTTCCCAGAGCAGCCTCCACAGAGGCCAGGTGCTGTCTCAGGAGAGAAGACCCAGCCGACCAGGCCAGCCCCTCCAGCCACCAAGTCTGCTCTGCCTCTCCGCCTGTAGGCCTGGACGGTGGGGATGGCTGGCTCCAACCTGGGCAGCACAGTCTCTGCCCGTTGACCTCACAGCCCCAGTGTTTGTCAGTCACACTGCAGAGTTGGGCACCACAAGCACAAGGTGGAATTTTCCAGCAGCTGCGTGACGTGATACTGTAATGCTCTCGTATCAACATTACATAAATACTATAATATTTGTTACAATATGTTAATACATAATAGATTTATTGTTATTTTAAATGAATAAATATGTTTAAATCTGTCTCAATCTTAATTTCTAGTAGGGTAAAAATTGACAGATAAAACCCACATAAGCAAAGCTCTTTGGGGTCCTCAGCGATTTTTAAAAGTGCAAAACTGGCCCAAGACCGAAACTCTGAGCCCCAAGGCCCAGGCCCTGGAACCCGCCCTGGGTCAGTGTCAACAAACCACCTCAGCGCCTGCCTGTCCAGTCACCCCTCCTAGTCTAGTTGGTAACAGTTAAGCATCCATCCTGTTCCCGATCACCCCCCTAAGATCCGTTCTGTCCCCCCAGCCTCTGCCCTACCACAGGCTTTGTCAGGACCAAGCGGGCAGCCCCTGGTCCTGGTGTGGTCAGGAGCTCACGTTGACGAATGTAGGCACAGGCCACTGACGGAGGAGAACTGGCAGCGAACCGAAGAGTGAGAAGTGTGCTCTGGACCAGGCAGCTGCCTCTCCTGGCCTCTTGGCACAAATGCCCCATGAGAGTCCGTGTGAGTGACCTGTGCTCTCACCCACTGCCTTCACTCTCAGGCCTTCGCCGCCCCTTGGTTGACGGGATGTGGGCAAAGCACACGTGATCACCGGACAGCTCTTCCCTGGGGCCCTGGGCTGACCTGGCCCAGCACAGCCTCCATGACCATCCCAGCCTTGGAGTTTCGCATCAATTTCATTGACCTGTTTCTCTGGCTCAGTTCAAGAGGCATATTCTCTGCAAGATAAACACTCACTGTTCCTTTTAAACTGTTTTATTATTTTAAAATTTACCCTCTTCTGAGGCCACACACAGTGTCTCAAGTCTCTGGGGCCCAACATTGGTCAGAGTTCAGACAAACCCCAGAGGCAGCGCAAGGCTGCAGGCCTGTGTGGCTCCCCTAGCAGACCCCATGACACACAGACATCAGCTGCCCCCCAAGCTCATGAGAGGCTCCCCAGCTCCGCACTCAGTAGAACTCATCCCCTCTGCTGCTCAGGTGCCCTTAGAGCCCTTCCCTGTGGCCCAGTCCTTGCTGCAGCCATGCCTGCCATGCCAAATCAGGGCCAGCCAGACTGACTGTCATCTCACCAAGGCCTTTCTCTAAGAACGGCCAGACTGGGCACCCCTGCAGTCCGGATCAGGCGCATCTGCCTGCAGGTCCCTCCGCGAGCATGTGAAGCTGAGGAGCAGAGGCCCTCGCCTGCAGGGTGGAATGTTCCCACTGAGGGTGCTTGGGAGAAGCTTCGCAACGGGCACAATTGAGCGGAGGCTGGAGGGGCACGTGCCGGTGCCTCCGACAGGCAGCAGGACTTGAGAAGCATCGGCACAGGTGGGAAAGGTGCCCTGGCCGTGGCCGGTGATGTGCGTGAGAACTGCAGTCAGGACAGCCGGAGGAGTCTTTGGTCCACTCCTCTTCACAGCCCACGGGGCAGCACCCAGGACTGGCTTCCCTCCTTGGTGGAGAGAGAGTCCCCTGTTGAGTAGGGGAGATTTCAAGAGCTCCGAGTCGCTCCGAGGATGCAGCAGCCAGGAGACCACGAGGCTGTTGTCCCTGCTGTCCTGGAGAAGGGATCCTGTGCAGCCCTGTTCTCTGGAGACGGCCTCTCATGGAGGAGGATGGGAGCAAAGGCCAGCGTGTGCCGGGCCTGCCTTCCCACAGAAGGGAAGAACCCAGCCCTGTGTGTGCACCGGGCGCGAGCAGTGGGCAGACGCAGGCCCCTCCCTCACGCTTGTTATCACAGGCAGATGGTGGGGTGCGGTGAAGTAGGGGATGGCGCTTAGGACGCTGACTTTCAGCACCAGTGTAGCCACATTAGCCGGGCTGTCTGTCGGCCTTTCCAGTCTGGTCTTTCCAGAGGGAAGGCACCGTTTTCTGAACACTTGACTCATATGAAATAGCTCACTCTTCCTCTGAGTAAATCACAGGCCTCTCTTTCTTCCTTATGTTGGTACTCTCAGAAACTCAGTTCAAGCTGTCTAGACAGCAGGCATGGAATCTGGGGCTCCTGTAACTGGAAAGACCAGGGAGGGTGCCGGTGTCAGGCATGAGTGGCTCCGGGAGTGCAGACAGGCCCACTAGGCGTCTGCCAGCTCTGCGGGTCTCGCTTGGCCTCATTCTGTGTGCTGGCTCTCTTTCCACCCACTCCCGACATTGGTCCAGCACTGTTTGGTCAGGAGGCCATTCCTTAAACCAGTTGCCAGAGGGACAGCACCCTGTGGTTGGCCCGGCAGGAGCACCCCTCACAACTCAAACGAGCAGGTTGCTGGAGAGACTTTCCTATTGTGCCCATTAAGCCTCACCTGTGTTTGCCCTTGGCCCTGCCTGCTGGCACTCACGCTTTTTCTGCCCACCTGTGTGGGGCATCTGCCCTGGGCAGGCACTGGTCATGGGCATCTGTGAGGGCAGGACACACATAAAACAAGCACTGTGAGCTCTCTTGACATTCCCTCCAGCCTCCTCATCCCCCAGCAAAACTTCAGCCACAGAAACCATGCACCTGTCAGCAGCTGAAACATATGATCTTTTCAGATTTCAGAATTTCAAGAAAATCACAGGAAGAGATTGTTAGCCTTCTACAGAGAAAAGGTAAGTCAAGTTGATTCATTGCCACTTGAATTTCTTTGACCTTTAGATTTAAATGTCAGACTTGTTAATTAACACCTTGTTCTCAAAGGGGACGGGCTACTAGACGCAGTATCTGTTTCTCTGTGTTTCCAACTATGCGGATGTCGTCACAGTCCCCTTCTGACCATCAGCCTCTTTGCCCAACCCTTGTCTGTAGTTCACCAAGTGGTCCCTTGGGTGCGGCACCCATGGGCCTCCCTGCTCGGCCACCCTTTCCCCCTCAGCCACTGGGGGCGCTGCGGGGCCTTTGGAGCTTGGGAGGCAGCTTAAAGGCTTCTCTGCTCAACCATCTCCTTTTAAAAAATAAGTCCTTTTCAAAAAACTTTGAAGGTTATATAGTAGGTAACATAAGGACCCCAGCTTTAAAGACAAGGGACCCTGGGGTCACTTCCCCAAGTCTGGAAGCCAGCTTATGACCCTGATGCCTCCTGTCTGTGTGTGAACATTCTATGTACACCCAGACCTGGAGGGGACAGGTCACCCCTGCCTGGCTTGCCAACTGGTGACCTCCTTCCATCTCGTCACCCCACCCTGTCTTGTCACCTTGCCCTGTCCTGTCACCCCATCTCACCCCTCATCCCATCCTGCCACCACATCCTATTACCCGCTCCCTGTCCTGTCATCCAACCCCATTCTGTCATCACTCACCCCATCTTGCTAACCCCACCCTGTCCTGTCACCCTGTATCAGTCTGTTTTCACACTGCTATAAAGAACTACCTGAGATTTGTAACTAACGGTAATTTGTAAAGGAGAGAGGTTGAATTGACTCACAGTTCCACATGGCTGGGAAGGCCTCAGGAAACTTACAATCATGGCAGAAGGCAAAGGGGAAGCAGCTGGAGAGAGGGCAGGGGGAACCGCCAAACACTTTTAAACCATCAGATCTCGTGAGAACTCACTATCACAGAACAGCATGGGGGAAACTGCCCCCATGATCAATCACTTCCCACCGGGTCCCTCCCTTGACACATGGGGATTGCAATTCAAAATGAAACTTGGGTGGGTACACAGAGCCAAACCACATCATTCCACCCCTGGCCCCTCCCAAATCTCATGTCCTTCACACATTTCAAAACACAATCATATCTTCCCAGCAGTCCCTCAAAGTTTTAACTCATTTCAGCATAAACTCAGAAGTCCAAATCCAAAGTCTCATCTGAGTCAAGGCAAGTTCCTTCCACCTCTGAGCCTGGAGATTAAAAAACAAGTTAGTTATTTCCAAGATACTATCGGGGTACAGGCATTGGGTAAATGTTCTCATTCCAAATGCAAGAAGTTGACCAAAACAGAGGGGCTACAGGCCCCATACAAGTCCAAAACCCAGCAGGGCAGCCATTAAATCTTAAATTTCCAAAGCAATCTCCTTTTTCCCAATGTCTCACATCCAGGACATGGTGATGCAAGTGGCAGGGGCTCCCAAGGCCTTGGGCAGCTCCCCTCTGTGGCTTTGCATGGTACAGCCCCAGTGGCTGCTTTCTGGGCTGTGGTTGAGTGCCTGCAGCGTTTCTAGGCACGCGATGCAACCTGTCCGTAGATTTACCATTCTGGGGTCTGGAGGACAGTGGTGCTCTTCCCACAGCTTCACTAGGCAGCGCCGCAGTGGGGACTCTGTGTGGGAGCAACCGCCCCACATTTCTCCTCTGCACTGCCCTGACAGAGGTTCTCCATGAGGGCTCTGCCTCTGCAGCAGCTTCTGCCTGGACCTCCAGGCGCTTCCACACACCCTCTGAAATCCAGGTGGAGGTTCCCAAACCTCAGCTCCTGTCTTCTGTGCACATGCAGACCCAACACCACATGGAAGCTGCCAATGCTCGGGGCTTGCACTCTCTGAAACAGCAGCTCAGTTGTACCTTGGACCCTTTAGTTACGGCTGGAGCTAGAGCAGTTGGGATGCAGGGCACCATGCCCTGAGGCTGCACAAGAGTTGGGCAGTGGGCCTTGGCCCAGCCCATAAAACTACTTTTTTCTCTCTGGGCCTGGGATGGGGAGAGGGGGCTGCTGTGAAGATCTCTCACATGCCCTGGAGACATTTTCCCCACTGTCTTGGTGATTAACATTGGGCTCCTCATTACTTACGCACATTTCTTCAGATGGCTTGACCTTCTCCCCAGAAAATGGGCTTTTCCTTGCTACTGCATGGTCATGCTGCAATTTTTTCAGGATTTTATTTTCTGCTTCCCTTTTAAACATAAGTTCCAAGTTCAGATAATCTCTTTGTGAATGTATATGACTATATGCTTTCAGAAAAAGCCAGCTCACATCTTGAATGCTTTGCTCCTTACAAATTTCTTCTGCCAGATAACCCTAAATCACCTCTCAAGCCACAGATCTCAAAGGTAAGGACAAAATGCCTCCAGTCTCTTTGCTAAAGCATAGCAAGAATGAGCTTTGCTCCAGTTCCCAATAAACTCATCTCCATCTGAGACCTCCTCAGCCTGCACTTCGCCATCCATGTCACTATGAGCATTTTGCTCAAACCCATTCAACAAGTCCCTAGGAAGTTCCAAACTTTCGCACATATTCTGTCTTCTTCTGAGCCCTCCAAACTGTTCCAACTTCTGTCCATTACCAGTTCCAAAGTTGCTTCCACATTTTTAGGTATCTTTATAGCAGTGCCCAGCTCTGTCGTTACCAATTCTCTGTATTAGTCCATTTTCACACTGTTATAAAGCACTGCCTGACACTGGATGATTTATAAAGGAAGGAGGTTTGATTGACTCAGTTCCACATGGCTGGGAAGGCTTCAGGAAACTTAGCAATCATGGCAGAAGGCAAAGGGAGAGCAGTGCACGACTTAGACGGCAGCAGGAGGGGTGGAAGGGGACTGCCGAACACCGTTAAACCGTCGGATCGTGTGAGAACTCACGGGCGTGAGAACAGCGTGGGGGAACCACCCCCATGAAACAGTCACCTCCCCCAGATTCTTCCCTTGAAACATGGGGTTACAGTTTGAGACGAGATTTGGGTAGGGCCATGGCCAAACCATATTGTGCCCCCACTGCATCCTGTCACTCCTCAGCCCCATTCTGTAGCCCCCTTACCCCATCCTACCACCCCCTCCCCTATCCTGTCACCACCACCCTGTCCTGTTAGCCTCTCCCCTTCCTGTCACCCGCCTTTTCCTATTACCTCCACCTCACCCTTTCACCACCACCCCATCCTCTCACCCTGTCCTCATCCTCACCCCCACCCCATCCTCACACCTACCCCATCCTCACCCCATCCTCTCACCCCCACCCCATCCTCTCCCTCCACATCCTCTCATACCCACCCCTGTCCTGCCACCCCATGCCATCCTCTCTCCACCCCTCCAGGCCACCACAGCCCCATCATACTCCTTGACAGCCACCCAATATCCTGCCTGGAGACTTCTTGCAGGGGCCAGCCTGGGCTAAGCTTGTCACATTTTGTGTATGTTACCTCCTAATCCTCCCAGCACACCTCGAGGATGGTCATGAGCCATAATTGCAGACAGGACACTGGGATCCCCGAATCTAGTCACTCCCTTGGGGTCTGGCAGCTGCCACACACAGGGCCAGGTTCCAGCCTGACAGCAGAGGCTGGCAGTGACGGAGCGTGGAAGGTACTTGTGTCTGACATTGAGGCTGGGAGCTCCCCTGCAGGGCTGACAGCGAATTCGCGTCATGCGGCTTGTGGAGGGTGCTACACTGAAACTCGTCTCCTGGGGCTTGGCCTTGACTCAGCTCTGCATGGACCCCAAGCCCAACTTCCTAAGTACCTGATGGACCGGACTCAAGGCAGGTGTACGCATGGACAGCGTGAGGGTGACTCCATGCAGAGAAGCCTACCTTCAGATTCACAGTTTAAGAAATGTAGAAGGTCACTGTCACTCAGCATAGCCTGTCTGCTAACAAGAGGTTGTGTGATTCCGTTTAGATTTCTAGGTTGGAAGAATCCCTTAGGAAGTCAGTGCTGCAGATAGAACAGCTGCAAAGGTAAGGCCCCCGCCTCCCCCGGGTGAGTGCAGGCAAGGCAGCCACTGCCATGTGCACTGATCGTCCAGCTGTCCACGATCAGGAAGGAAAATGACTGCAGACGCAGAGGGAAGAGCTCGTTCACTTACTGGAAACTTGGGTCAGAGCAAAAATGCTGTCGGAAAACTGAAGGAAAGAAGGGAGACAAAAAAGAAAAAGTGAGAAAGACATGAATGGTTCCCCTCGGGGCAGGCGCCCCAGTGATTCCTGAGGCAGTGGGAAGGGCCTGGGAGAGCAGCAGGCACCCCCGGCCTCCCCAGAGTGACCCAGCACAGCCAGGGTGGCCCTGCAGCAAGGGACCTCCGCAGGAGTCAGAGCGCCTGTGAAAGGCACGAATCTGTGGCGTGTTCTGTGTGTGCAGGCACTGCTGTGAAAGGGTGACGCGTCTTAGAAAGAAAGTCCAGAGTTGCTAGGATTCACCAAAATGAGGACTGAAAGCGTTAGCTTCCAGTATCTAGAGAAGCGATCCGCTTGAAACCCTCCCCCGTGGCACTCATGCGTGCCTTTGCCGTATTGCATCTGTTCTGAGTGCACTGGTATTGCATTCAGCGGCTCTGGAGTTTGGAATCAGTAACAGGCCGAAGTTCAGTTAACACAGTGCTGCACAGATGCGGTGCGTCTTAGGTCTGGCGACGCCTTGGATTCTATGAGCTGTGTTTTCTGTAGTCACTAGTCCCCGTTTGGTGGCTGCACACTAACTTGGAGGTCGAGGAGTCAGTGGCCATGTGGGTGCTTCTGTCTCCCACCAGCTGTGTGTGCCGGGGCAGGTGCCCGCCTCCCTGCCGTGTCCGGCAGCTGAGCATGGCACGGCCTCACTGGGGCCATGGGGCCTGAGGGGAGCTAGGGATGCCAGTCACACTGGCTGGTGGCCTGCTCCTGATACGAGGTTCTGATTGCCTCTGGTGAAAAGGGGCTGCTTTCCCCTGTCCTTATTTTGGGTTCTGAGAGTCGCTATGGCCTTGTCTTGTGAAGGGCGTGTTCCAGGTGTCAGATCCAGCCTGCAGTGGATATTTGCTTTCCTTTCCTTTCCTTTTGTTTTCTTTTCTTTTCTTTTTTTTTTTTTTTTTTTTTTTGAGACAGGGTCTTGCTCTGTCACTCAGGCTGGAGGGCAGGCCTGATATCAGCTCACTGCAGCCTCAACCTCCCAAGGCTCAGGTGATTCTCCTGTCTCCGCCTCCTAAGTAGCTGGAGCCACAGGCGTGCACCACCACACTCGGCTAATTTATTTTATTTTTTGTGGAGATGGGGTCTCACTATGTTGCCCATGCTAGTCTTGGGCTCCTGATCTCAAGTGATCTTCCCACCTCAGCGTTCCAAAGTGCTTCAGTGAAAGATGTGAGCCACTGCACCCAGCCACAGTGCAGTTCTGTGCACCCCCAGGCTGAGCATGACTTTTACATTTTTAAACGATTGTAAACACATCGCAACAGAGACCTTACGTAGACAGCAAAGCCTCCTGCATTTACTAGCTAGCCCTTTGCAGAAACATTTGCAAACCCCTTTAAAGCATCACAAGAGAAGACAGACACTTAAAATGCAATGAAGTGTGGAATTACTTTCATTTTTTCTTCTTGGTGTATAATTTTCTTTCTTTCTTTGGATTCCTGTTTTTCATTAATTCTGTAAAGTTCCTGGCAGTTACCTTTTCAGGTAGTACCCTCTGCATTCCCTGCCACAGCCTGCAGCTCCCGCCCTCCATGTCAATGTCTGGCCGTGATTCCACCATCTTAGGCCACCTGGACGCTTGCTGGCTGGCTTCTTCCAGCTTCCTGATTTCCCAGTTAAGCCAGTGAACCCCACTGAGTTTGTTTGTTTTTGTTTTGTTTTGTTTCTGAGATGGAGTCTCACTGTGTCACCCAGGCTGGGGAGTGTAGTGATGCCATCTCAGCTGACTGTACCCTCTGCCCCTCTGGGTTCAAGCGATTCTCCTGCCTCAGCCTCCTGAGTAGCTGGGATTACAGGTGCCTGCCAACACACCTGGCTAATTTTTGTGTTTTTAGTAGAGATGAGGTTTCACCATGTTGGCCAGGCTGGTCTCGAACTCCTGACCTCAGGTGATCCACCCACCTCGGCCTCCCAAAGTGCTGGGATTACAGGCGTGAGCCACCCCACCCGACCCCCACTGAGTTTTTGTTCTGTCCATTACAGTTAACATTTCTAGAACATTCCTGCTCATTTCAGCATTTGGAAAATAGTCCTTGCTCGTTGTTGCATCTTGGTCTTTCATGTAGTCACCTCACAGGCAGCCCTCCTATTTCCCTCACCTGATGCCCTCGGGAATCCAAAGCTGCCCTCTTTGCTTCCACTCTCACTCCGGGAGGTATATTTCTGGTGATCTCTGCTGAGGTTGCACAGGCCAATCCCACTTTCTGCATACCTGCTGTCGCCTGCGTTCTCCTGCAGAGAGGGCTCCCCCGTGCTCTGCCCGCCCAGCTGATCCACCCTGGAACACTGAGACCGCCCATCTTGCCAGCCTCACTTGCCAGCCTCACTTGCCAGCCTCACTGGGGTGGGGTTCCTTCTGCCCACGTTCCACATTGCCGTCTTCCTCCCACAAAACAAAGTATGTTTTAGAGTCGTTGGAAGCAGGAGCAAGGCCCCTTCAGAGGATCCAGGCCACAGCCCTGCCAGACGCAGAGGCCCACGTGCTTCCATCCACCACAGCCCTGCCAGACACGGAGACTCAGTCCCTTCCACCCACCACAGCCCTGCCAGATGCAGATACTCAGTCCCTTCCACCCACCACAGCCCTGCCAGACACGGAGACTCAGTCCCTTCCACCCACCACAGCCCTGCCAGACACGGAGACTCAGTCCCTTCCACCCACCGCAGCCCTGCCAGACACGGAGACTCAGTCCCTTCCACCCACCACAGCCCTGCCAGACACGGAGACTCAGTCCCTTCCACCCACCACAGCCCTGCCAGACACGGAGACTCAGTCCCTTCCACCCACCACAGCCCTGCCAGATGCAGATACTCAGTCCCTTCCACCCACCACAGCCCTGCCAGACACGGAGACTCAGTCCCTTCCACCCACCACAGCCCTGCCAGACACGGAGACTCAGTCCCTTCCACCCACCGCAGCCCTGCCAGACACGGAGACTCAGTCCCTTCCACCCACCACAGCCCTGCCAGACACGGAGACTCAGTCCCTTCCACCCACCACAGCCCTGCCAGACACGGAGACTCAGTCCCTTCCACCCACCACAGCCCTGCCAGACACGGAGACTCAGTCCCTTCCACCCACCGCAGCCCTGCCAGACACGGAGACTCAGTCCCTTCCACCCACCACAGCCCTGCCAGACACAGAGACTCAGTCCCTTCCACCCACCACAGCCCTGCCAGACGCAGAGACCCAGTCCCTTCCACCCACCACAGCCCTGCCAGATGCAGATACTCAGTCCCTTCCACCACCACAGCCCTGCCAGATGCAGATACTCAGTCCCTTCCACCACCACAGCCCTGCCAGACGCGGAGACTCAGTCCCTTCCACCCACCACAGCCCTGCCAGACACGGAGACTCAGGTACTTCCACCCACCACAGCCCTGCCAGACACAGAGACTCAGTCCCTTCTACCCACCGCAGCCCTGCCAGACGCAGAGATTCAGTCCCTTCCACCCACCACAGCCCTGCCAGACACGGAGACTCAGTCCCTTCTACCCACCACAGCCCTGCCAGACACGGAGACTCAGTCCCTTCCACCCACCACAGCCCTGCCAGACACGGAGACTCAGTCCCTTCCACCCACCGCAGCCCTGCCAGACGCAGAGACTCAGTCCCTTCCACCCACCACAGCCCTGCCAGACACGGAGACTCAGTCCCTTCCACCCACCACAGCCCTGCCAGACACGGAGACTCAGTCCCTTCCACCCACCACAGCCCTGCCAGATGCAGATACTCAGTCCCTTCCACCCACCGCAGCCCTGCCAGACACGGAGACTCAGTCCCTTCTACCCACCACAGCCCTGCCAGACACGGAGACTCAGTCCCTTCCACCCACCGCAGCCCTGCCAGATGCAGAGACTGAGTCCCTTCCACCCACCACAGCCCTGCCAGACGCGGAGACTCAGTCCCTTCTACCCACCACAGCCCTGCCAGACACGGAGACTCAGTCCCTTCCACCCACCGCAGCCCTGCCAGATGCAGAGACTGAGTCCCTTCCACCCACCACAGCCCTGCCAGACGCAGAGACTCAGTCCCTTCCACCGACCACAGCCCTGCCAGACGCAGAGACTCAGTCCCTTCCACCCACCACAGCCCTGCCAGACGCAGAGACTCAGGTACTTCCACCCACCACAGCCCTGCCAGACGCGGAGACTGAGTCCCTTCCACCCACAATGGTCCACCTTGCAGCAGCCAGTCTTCTCTGAGCACCGGGCGCATCAGCGCTCTTCTGGGCGCTGACAATTTGGAGCAAGCCAAACAAGCCCAGGGCCTATTCTCTGGGAGCTTCTGTTTGGAAGGGGGAGGTAGAAAGTGAACCTGTAGGTCAGGCTGGGACACAGGCTGCCAGGGTAAGTGACTCGGTGAGGAGATTGAGGGGCAATGCCCGGGCAGGCTCTAGGAGGTGACTGCTGCAGAGCGGAGGCCCCAGTGGTTCAGCTGTGGCACAGCTGCCTATTTCTCGCTCGTTTGGTTGCAGTTGCTGAGGGCAGACTGTTCATATCTCAAAAGCCTGGCCAGCATAGATGGGCACTCAGGGTGCCAGGAGACAGCCCCGCTCCTCACCTGCAGAAACAGACACACTCCCCGAGTCTTGCAGGTGTATCTCAGCATGTCCACCAGGCCCCATGAGGCAGAGAGGCCCCAGGTGTGGCGGCCTTCTGTGGCCGGAGTCGCAGGACACAGCAGGCCATCTCTGCTACTGGCCATCATGAGATCAGCCAGGGCTGCTACACAGGAAAACATGACCGAGTAACTTGTCCGCATTTATCTTGCTGGCCTGTTTTTCTTTATTTTATTTTTTCTTTCCCTTCCCTTTCCCCTTTTTCTTTTTTGAGATGGGTTCTTGCTGTGTCGCCCAAGCAGGAGTGCAGTAGTGTAGTCGCGGCTCACTGCACCCTTCACTGCTCGGGCCGTCCTCCCAGCCCTGTGTCCGAAAGTGCTGGGACCGTGGACGTGAGGCACCGTGCCTGGCCTCTTCCTGGCCCCGAAAAGCTGGTGCGTTACTGGCTCCTGTTGTCGGGTCTTCATCTCACGCCTTCACACCAGCAGTGGCCGTTTGCTGAGCGGCAATTGCAGCTGCAGGAGCCCGTGATGTAAACGGTAGCGCGTGTTGACTTCACTTTGCCTCACAGGACGCTTTGGGGACTGTTGAATTCATGCGAAATGCCCTTTGCAAACCCAGTAAGAACATTTCACTGATTCAGAGCCTTCTTACACGTTCAGTTGAATGACTTAGGGGGAAGTCAGTTTTTATGATTTAATTCAATACCTTTTCTCCATCTATTTAGTATGAGATCATCACAACAAACAGCTTTCGGCACAATAAAAAATTCCGTTTCAAGTAAGTAAAATAATGCCAGAAAGAGAAACAGATAAAGAGATGCAGGTGGCTGAATCGCACTGTGTGCACTGACGTTAGGATTTCCATCATCACTCTTCCAGCAAAGCCACACGGATGCCTGCTGCTGCCACCGCACCCGTCACAGTCCGACAGGTGTGTGGGTCGGGTGGGAGGCGCAGGAGCCTGCGGGAATCACAGCACCCCCAGTTCTTTTCTGTGGGTGCTTCTGCGTCTCTCCTCCCATCCCAACCCCATTTCCCCTCCAAGCCCCCAGATTTTTCTCACCCAGACGATTGACTGGAGTTCAGCTCACGTTGGTACTTACTTCTTGTCCCGGTGAGGCTCAGGTCCCAAACCAGGTGTGTGATCCAGGCTGGCCAATCAGAGCACTCCATCCCTGCAGCCACAGTGATTGGTTTGGGAGTGATCGTGTGACCCAGTGTTCTGAGTGCCCCCAGCTAAGCTGGGGTCCCAGTGACCCAGCAGCTGGCAGCCCTGCCCTAACAGGAAATGAAGGGGGCTGACATAGTGCCTTTCATGGGACCTTCTTTCACCTGGTGGATGGCCTGAACCCCAGTTACCAAACCCATGGCCGGGAGCCCCTCCCACAGGAATCTTGTCTATACTGACAGATGCCCATGGCTTGTGTCTGCCCTGTGTCCAGGCCATGCCTGCCTGGCATCGCTCTGGCACAAGGAGCCCAACCTCATGTTCCCTCCAGTGTCCCAGCGAAAACCCAGCCTGGGGTAGCTCCTAGCTCTTCAGATGGAAGCACAAATTTAGTCCACCCCTGTGTTAGGAAACATACTGAGATCTGTCACTTACAGGTCCTGGACAGGGGAGGCACCATGCGTGGGGAGGACAGTGCTCTGCCCACAGGTAGCAAGAGGCAGGAATGAAGGGTCAGGCAGAGAGGGGTGGCCCCACGGGCCAGCAACACTTTACTGGGGCTCAGGGCATCATTCAGGCCGGTTTCCCATGGGGAGCTTTAATTGCTGGGTTTAGAGCAGGCAGGCACAAGCTCCATTGGGTCCCACTGTGACTGAGAGGGTGTCACTGTGCATATCTGCATGGTCCATGCAGGGTGAGGGGTCAGCGGGGCCAGCCAAGTGGGTTGTGCCCAGTCTCCCACACGAGGGGGCAGTCGGGGAAGCCAAGTGTCTGGATGGACCACGACGAGGCACTGGGAGCGGGTGGAGAACTGGAACCTGTTGAAGGTGACTGAGCCCTGCTTCTGCTATGAGAAAGTTAAACCTGGCCGGGCGCGGTGGCTCACGCCTGTAATCCCAGCACTTTGGGAGGCCGAGGCCGGTGGATCACCTGAGGTTGGGAGTTCAAGGCCAGCCTGACCAACATGGTGAAACCCCGTCTCTACTTAAAAAAAAATTATAAAATTAGCCGGGCATGGTGGCACATGCCTGTAATCCCAGCTACTCGGGAGGCTGAGGCAGGAGAACAGCTTGCACCCGGAAGGCGGATCCAGCCTGAGCAACAGGAGCAAAGCTCCGTCTCAAAAAAAGAAAAAGAAGAGTCCTGGTCAGATTGCATGCAGGGTGCCTACAGAGGAGACTGCAGGGCCGGGTGGGGTGGCTAACACCTGTAATCCCAGCACTTTGGGAGGTCGAGGCGGGCAGATCACCTGAGGTCAGGAGTTTGCGACCATCCTGGTCAACATGGTAAAACTCCATCTCTACTAAAAATACAAAAATTAGCTGGGCTTGATGGCCAGTGCCTATAATCCCAGCTACTCGGGAGGCTAAGGCATGAGAATCGCTTGAACTCGGGAGGCGGAGGTTGCAGTGAGCCAAGATCACGCCATTGCACTCTGGCCTGGGCAACAGAGTGAGACTTTGTCTCAAAAAAAAAAAAAAGATAAAAAGTTAAACCTATATTCAGAATGGATGCTGAGGCCACCTAAAATTATAAAAATTCACTCCAGCCAGGCTGAAGTCATGGGAGTCATCCCTGGGACTCTCCCTGGAGCTGTTAGTAAAGAGTGAGTCTCTTTCCGCAGAGACCATGAGCCGTAAGGATGGCAGGGCCAGGGGAGGGCCAGCTCAAAATGAATCAAATGAGGTTTTCCTGTCTCCCTTTGGCAAATGCAAGAACTCAAGCGTATTGTGCGTGCATGGTGTGGTATGTGTGGCCAGGCAGTGAGTGGTCATAGAAGTCAATTTGGTATCCCACTCTCAGGATGTCCTGGTCCTGCAGGCTCCAGCAGGTGCCGGCAGAGAGAAGAGAAGGGGTGGTCTGGAGGGAGAAGCCGAGTGTGCAGAGGCACAGGAGAGGCACGCCAGGGAGACCTCAGCCAGTGCGGGCCGGCCAGCGGCCTCTGTGTCCTGGAGTGGCTGCTTCCCAGTACAGATGATGGGTGGCCCTAAAGAGGGAGGGAAAGGATAGTGGCCAGATGCTTACTTGACTAAGCTCTGCCTGCAGCACGAAGCTAGAGCAAGAGTTAGCCACTTACGTAGTCTTGTCGTGTGTGTTTACGCTGGTGTTGTTGAGGGTAAGTCCTGGGCTCACTCCAAGCGTTTCACTGTGTGTTTAACAGAGTGGAGTCGATGGACGTGGATCTCTCTCCTTCTCCGATTAGAAAGGTAGGTGCGTCTCTCCTGCTGTGTTTCTCATTGCCCATATACTCAGTATGTGGCATTTGCCACTTTCCTCAGCACTGAAAAACATAGCCACCCGTGCAGCAGCAGACAGGCTTCGTCCTTTTTCACGGGGTTCATGTAGTTTGGATCTGCATTGTGTGCTGGCCCCAGCGGGTGAGAGGGTTGGGCTGTGGGCATAAGCTGGGTCCTGAAAGACGGTCATGAGAATGCTCCTGTTCTGCCTGAATAGCTGGGACCACAGTGCCATCTGGAAACACAAAAGCAAATGCAGAGCATGGCAGGGTCCCACGCAGGTCCTGTGTTGTCCCCATGCAGGGCCCATGTTGGTACTGTTTTGGTCCCACGTGGGTCTCATATTAGTCCCAGGTTGATCCCATGCTGGTCCCAGGTTGATCCTGTGTTGATCCCATGTTGATCCTGTGCTGGTCCTATGTTGGCCCTGTGTTGATCACATGTTGGTCCTGTGTTGATCCTGTGCTGGTCACATGTTAACCGTTGATCCTGTGCTGGTCCCATGTTGGTCCTGTGCTGATCACATGTTGGCCTTGTGTTGATCACATGTTGGTCCCACACTGGTCCCATGTCAATCCTGTGCTGGTCCCATGTTGGTCCTGTGTTGATCACATGCTGGTCCCATGTTGATCCTATGTTGATTCTGTGCTGGTCATATGTTAATTCTGTGTTTATCCTGTGCTGGTCCCATGCTGGTCCGTCCCTGTTGGTCCCCATTGGTGTCAAGGAGAAATGGCAGCAAAGCTGGTGGCCCTGTGCTTTACCTGCCTTCACTTGCTGTCTCGAGAAGTGACAAACAGTACTGAAGAAGACAGCAGTAAGCTTTGTCAGCCCAGGAAAAGAAATGGGCCAGAAAAGCTGAGGACTCTTCGAGTTGGAGAGAAGCAAGACCAGAGGAAACCTGCCCAGAACTCAGGGAGACTCCAGGCCCAGCTCTCAAGTCACCCGTGCGGGTGGGCATATCTCAGTGCCAGATGTCCTACATCAGCCACACACCAGGCATCTCGGCAACAGGAGAGAGGAGGCAGTTTGCAAAGGACTCGGCAGAGTGAGCCTCACCCGTGGGAGGGCTCAGGGCATGAGAAGCCTGTGGAGCAGGAGGGGGCCAAGGAGAAAGGGCAGGAAAACCAAGTGGGTTCTAAAGGCGGGGGTGTCTGTGTGCCACAGTGCCCAGTATTGGCTTGATTTATGCGTTGCTTAGGGTTGTGCGACACAGTGTGACTCATTGGCAAGCCCTGTTCTCGGCCCTTTATAAACATGAACTCAGTCGTCCTAGCAGCCCTGTGAAGTGAGTAATCACACCCGTTTCCAGGGAGATCACCCGGAGCCGGATGATGGCGGAACCTGGAGTCCAGGGTCAGAAGGCAGAAGTGCATTCAGTAGGGAGGAGAGAGCCGTCAGAGCATTGGTGACGGAGAACCTCCAGCTCCTTGGCAGTTGGGTCAAACACCTGTGTCCTCTGCCTGCCCAGCTCACTTCCCCCATGCTCGCGGCCATGCCCATAGCCGCCGGCAGCACTGGAGCTGTGCTTCCAGAGATACACACTGCCTCGTGAGTGCACCTCCTCCCTAGGCAACTGGCCCACACTGAGGACGGTGTGAGGCAGGGAGGTGCAGGAGGCCGGAGGCGGGCTGATCGCCTAAGCCCAAGAGTTTGAGACCAGCCTGGGTGACACGGCACGAGCCCAGCTCCACAAAAAATTAGCTGGGCGTGGTGGCATGCACCTGTAGTCTCAGTACTGAGAAGCTGAGGTGGGAGGATCACCACCCGGAGGTCGAGGCTGCAGTGAGCTGTGATTGCCCCACTGCACTCCAGCCTGGGGAACAGAGTGAAACCCTGTCAATAAAAGAGAAGAGGTTATGAGTTAATGAGGGAAAACCAGTTCATATAGTGTGGATCTGTGCCCCTGCCCGAATCTCATGTTGAATTATAATCCCCAGTGCTGGAGGTGGGGCCTGGCAGCCGATCTTTGGATCACGGGGGCAGATCCCTCGTGGCTAGTGCTCTTTGCCGTGGTGGGTGAGTTCTCACAAGACCTGGTTGGCTACAAGCACGTGGCACCGTCCCCAGGCGCCTGCTTGCTCGCCCTGTAACTGCCTCTCCTCCTCTGCCTTCCGCCCTGATTGCAGCCTCCTGAGGCCTCGCCAGAAAAAGATGCCACCGTGCTTCCTGTACAGCCTCAGCAGCATGAGCCAGTTTAACCTCCTTTCTCCATGAATTACGCAGTCTCTGGTATTTATAGCAGTGCAAGAATGGCCTAATATGCCAGTCAAATAGAAAACTGGTTTAAAGGAGAGTCCAAAGAGCAAACATGCGCTTAGGCAGCCAGGCCTGCAGACGTGAGCATGCCGATGGGAACACAGCTCCTCTCACACAGCAGGAACCAGCGTCTGCGCCCAGCCAAGTCCACCGTGGCCCACGGACAAGACAGGCTTGCACCACTCTCTGCTGCAACTCACAGCTGTCAGGAGCACCCGGGCGGGGAGCCACGCCAGCACTCCAACACTCCGTGGAGGAGCTGTTCTCTAAATGCAGCGGCAAATGGAACATGGTTCAAAGGGGTGGGGATGTCAAGGGGATTCTTAGGATGACTTTAATGTTGCAGACATCATAGCAGGTGGGAAGGATCCAGAAATGATGGCATAGCAGCACTCCAGGCAGGTGAGAGGAAGTACCTGGAGCCTGTCCTGATGAGGCAGGACTGCATGTCTGATGTTCACGGGGTGGCAGGCAGAGGCTGAAGGTACAGAGACAAAGCTCCCAGTTACACAAGATTCTGTCTTGGTGGGACTAGGAATGAGGTCATGAGGTCGTGACCTTCAGGTGGATGGGGAATGTGCTCAGTGGACAGCTCCGTGAGAAAGCTGGCCCACAGGCAGTACAGAGGGCCATGCCAAGTGGGGGTCTCCGTCCTTCCAAAGTTAGAGTCTTGCTAGAGAACAGGAGCAGAAGACTGGCAGGGTGGGGCCAAGGGCGTGGCAGAGAGTGCCCCTGGAGCAGGGCACTTCTGTGCCAGTAGAGAGGACACAATGACACAGAGGGGTTTTCAGGGTATATTGGAAGGGCCTGTGGATTAAAGGATCTGTGGAGTGGCTGTGCCAGGGGCAGGAGCCAGGACGATGTGCAGTAGAGGTCTTGGCGGGGCACAGTTGATGACAGCAGAGACTGGGGACCAGTAGGGTGAGGCAAAGAGCCTGTGAACAGGAGGTGCCAGCAGTGAGTGGAGAGCTGGAGGAGTGAGCCCAGGGAGGGGCAGCCACTAGAAATGGCATCTTGTGCAGTGGCTCAGGCCTGTAATCCCAGCACTTTGGGAGGCCAAGGAGGGTAGATCATGAGGTCAGGAGATCAAGACCATCCTGGCTAACATGGTGAAACCCCATCTCTGCTAAAAATATAACAAAAAGATTAGCTGGGCATGGTGACACACACCTGTAGTCCCAGCTACTCAGGAGGCTGAGGCAGGAGAATCCTTAACCCGGGAGGCAGAGGTTGCAGTGAGTGGAGATTGTGCCACTGCAGTCCAGCCTGGGCCACAGAGTGAGACTCCATCTCAAAAAAAAAAAAAAAGAACAAGAAAGCACCTTGCCATGCCCATAGGTCATACTGAGAAGCAAGAGGGGCTCAGAGCAGAGCAGCCTCCCTCACCAGAACCGGGGCTGGCAGCTCTGGGCTCACAGGTTTCTGTGGGTTGAGGAGGGATGGTGGCAGCCGCAGCCTTGTGGTTGCTGGGCAGGGGGAAGGGTGGGCACAGAGCCGGGCCCAGCGCACACAGCTCCACGCAGCATTAGCTCCACCCTGTCCATCAGCATGTGGATTTCAAGGTGTCAAAGTTACGCACCCAAGTTGATTTACTCAGGATTTCACATTCTGTAACCTCAGCTGCAAACTTTGTTTTTTTCTCCTGAAATTCCTAGTAGAGCCCTGTCTCCATTCACTGTTTTAGGCCCTGATGGAACAGAGGCAATAAAACAGGTAATACCCACCACACCCCCTTACCACCAGCAGGCAGTCGGGAGATGAACACGGAATCAAGCTGGATGGAGCTTGTCGGAGGTCGATAAAGATGAGGGAGGTGGAGTTCCGGGAATGTGCTCCTCAGTGAGCAGTGGGAGCTGGAATCTTGGAAGTGGCAGTATCGGAGTTTTATCCCTGTTTTCTTGTTCATACGTAGCGCGAGATAGCAGCCGGCCCTGTGAGAATCTCCGTGATTAGTCCACCTCAAGATGGACGCATGGGTAAGTGCATTTCCCGTAACCTTAACCTCACGCCGATGCATGTATCAACTAAAATATATTCCCCCGAAAGGTCATTTTAATCAAAGCTGTCAGAACTTACCCAAGTGGGTGTGGTCCTTCCACCAGCTCAGCATGGGAGGCTACATAGTCACCAAAATGGTTCAGCTTTTGAGTCCTTCCAGGGAGAAGCTCCTGATGACCATGCTCAGAAGTCACAGGAGAAAACTGGCTCCTTTGCATTCTATGTCCTCTTGGTTTTAAACGAAAATAGTGTCACTGGATTTGCTTCCTGGTAATTGGCTTTGAATTGCTGCGTCCCCACGGCCCACAGTCTGTGCGTGTGGGGAGCTGACATCCAGCCGGTTCCCGGCCCCCGTGGGGTCACTTCTGCAGCTGCGCTGGGTGTCCCTGCGCTTGCTGTGTGTGCTGCTTCCATCGGCCAGGGTTCCGGGGAGCTGCCTCTCTGGCTCTCTGGTTCTCAGCATCTCCCGTTATTTTTCTGACTGGTCCCTCCTCTCCGCAGCCCTCCTCAGCCAGGGCTGTGGGCCTCTCCAGGTCCTGCAGAGGACCCCTCGTGGCATGTGTAGACATGTTTTCAGCTCCTTTGGGTAAACACTAAGGCATTTTGAATGCTGGATCAGTGGTGAGAGGGTGTATAGTTTTGAACGAAATTGCCAAACTACCTTCCAGAGTGTCAGCAGCTTTTCCTATCCCCACCAGCAATGAGTGAGAATTCTTGTTGCCCCACATCCACACCAGCATTTGTCAGCGTTCTGGATTTTGGGCATCTTAGGTGTGTAGTGGTATCTTGCTTTTTTAATTTACATTTTGCTGATAACATATGACTAGGAGTATCTTATGCTGATTTTTCATCTGCATAACTTCTTTGCTGAAGTATCTGTTAAGGTATTCGGCTGATTTTTTAAAATTGGATTGTTACCTTGTTGAGTTTTAAGAGTCCTGTGTTTATTTTGGATGATATTTCTTTTTTTGTTGTCTTTTTGGTGGTTTTTTTGATGAATTTATTTATTGGCTATATATGCGTCTTGAAAATATTTTCTTCCATTTTGTGCCTTGTTCTCTCATTCTCTTGACTTATTTTTCACAGAACAGAATTCTTCTAGTTTTTAATGTTTACCTTCTAAATTATTTGGAGTTTATCTTGAGGTATGTTGTAAAATGAGCATCCAACTTGTTTTTTTTAATAATTTATTTTGAAAATACTTCAAGCACACAGAAAAAATTCTAAGAATAGTATTTAAAAAAAAAAAACAAAAAACTCCTATGTCTCCCTTGCCCAGATTCCCCAGCTGTTACCATTTTGTTAATTTGCTCCCTACCTGTCATCACTGGTATTTCTCTGAACCTATGTGGTGCCCTAGCACCCCTAGAAAACCGAGAACGCAGTTCTACAAAACCACCCACAACTCAGGCCAGGCGTTCACACTGACACGGGTCTACCATCCCATCAGCTGTCACCAGAGTCTCTCTTCTCCTCTGGTCCAGAATCTCCAGGAGGTGAGCTACATCCAGCTGTGACGTCTCCTCAGTCTCCTCTAGACTGGAGCGTTCCTTCTTCTTCTTCCTCTTGTCCTCAACAGCTTTGAAGTCAAATGGCCTCAAATTCTAAAGAGTGACCCATACTCTGGGTTGCCTGGTATTTCTTCAGGAGATCGGACCATCCTCTCCTGGCAGGAATGCCCTACCTCCAGGGGGACGTTCACCTTGGTCACCTGACCACACAGGCACCTCTCAGCCTTCCCCACTGTAGTCACTGTTCCCCATAATGGGTGAGTGTCTTATGGAGAGAGAGTCCAAATGACACTGATACCTTTTTCTTCATCAGGCCTCACCCCTCCACAATCAGCCACCACGCTGATGACTGCCTCATCCATTTTTCCATTTCCACAGCTCCTTCTATATGTATTAATTGTCACTCTCCTGTAAAGGAGAGCTTTTTCTTTTACCCAATTCAGGTATCTATATATTCACTAATTTATAACAATATGGATTCATGGTTTCTCTTTCTTTTTTTTTTTTTTTTTTTTTTTTTTTTTTTTTTTTTTTTGAGATAGAGTCTCCCTCTGTCACCCTATGACAAATCTATGAATCTGGCTGGAGTGCAGTGGTGCAATCTCAGTTCACTGCAACCTCTGCCTTCTGAGTTCAAGCTTTTCTTATACCTCAGCCTCCAAAGTAGCTGGGCCCATAGGTAAGTGCCACCCCTGGCTAATTTGTGTGTGTGTGTGTATTTTTAGTAGAGATGGAGTTTTTCCATGTTTCCAGGCTGGTCTTGAACTCCTGGGCTTATGCAGTCAACCTGCCTCAGCCTCCCAGAATGCTAGGATTACATATGTGAGCCACAACTGCACCTAGCCAGATTCATAGATATCTGTTTTGTTCAGAGGTTTGTATTTTCTGCTCAAATCCTCCCAGATACGGTCATGTTCAAAATGCATTTTTAAAATGTCAACCAGGAATTTTGTATCCAGTGAAATTAACATTTTAAAATGAAGACTAAGTAAACATTCACAGAGTAACAGAAACAATCCATTGCCAACAGGCCTGCCCTACAGGGAATGTAAAGGAAGGTATTAGGCTGACACCACACAGCGCCTCCCGCCTGCTAGAAGGGATGAAGAGCGTTGGGAATGGCGAACGTGGGGATGAGAACAAGAGACTATATTTTCCGTTTTTTTATCTTCTCATTATTTACAAAACATAAAATTGAAGCTACAATTATAACATTGCATTGTTCAAGTTATCCGTAGATGTAATACGCAGGATAATAAGCACAAGGAGGAGCAAAGAGATGGAGCCGCAATGGAGCAGAGGGGCCAGATTTAGCTAGAATTCAGTTAGCATTAACTAGAGTTAGACTTGTCTGAAGCAACCACACCAAACGTAACTAAAAAACACAGCTGAAAAATCAAGAGGAATTTTTAAATGACGTTGTAAAGCATTTGTTAAACACAAAGGCAATAAAGACAATAGAAGGAAAAAGGAAAAATAGACAGTAGACAATAAATAGCAAAGTGGCAGGTGGCGAGGGCTTCCTTCTGGACCCTATATTCTGTTCTATTGATCAGTGTATTATTTTCTTTCACAAATACCACAATATCTTGGTTACATTTGCTTTACAGTAAGTTTTAGAATTAGGTGGCATAGCCCTCTAACCTTTTTGTTAATTTATTCAGTATAATTTTGCCTATTCCAGGGTCTCTGCATTTCCTTGTAAATTTTGGGATAATGTCAAATTCTACAAAGAAAGCCTGCTGGAATTTTGATGGGATTTTTCCTGAAGCTCTGTATCAGTGTGGAAAACTGCCACCTTCACAGCTTTGACTCTCTCAGTCCATAGCTGTGCTGTGTCTCTCGCTGTTTATTAGAGCTTCTTCAGTTTCTCTCAAGAACCTTCAGTGACTTTCAGTGTACAGGTCTTGTACTTTCTTGATAAATTTATACCTAGGTATTTCTTCTTTTTTGTGTGTGTGACAGTCTCACTCTGTTGCCCAGGCTGGAGCTACAATCTCAGCTCACTGTAACCTCTGCCTCCCAGGTTCAAGCAATTCTTGTGCCTCAGCCTCCCAAGTAGCTGGGATTACAGGTACATGCCACCACACCCAGCTAATTTTTGTAATTTTAGTAAAGACGGGGTTTCACCATGTTGACCAGGCTGGTCTTGAACTCATGGCCTCAAACCATCCATCCACCTCAGCCTCCCAGAGTGCTAGGATTACAGGCATGAGCCACCACACCCGGCCCTAGGTATTTCATTATTTTTTATGGTGGAATTTTCTTCATTTAATTTTTATGTTGGTTATAGTTCGCATGGCATATCTTTTTCCATCCTTTTATTTTCAACCTGTCTGTGTCTGAATCCATGAAGTGCCTCTGATAGACAACATATGGTTAGAGCTTGTTTTCTGATCTATTCTTATACTCTAGACCTTCTGATTCAATTGCTTAGTCCATTGATATTCAATGTAATTATTATTTTTTGTAGTTGGATTTGTGCCTGCTATCTTGCTGTTTTTTGTTTTATTTGTAACAGGATCTTTAGTTTATCAGTATCTCCTTAACTGCCTTTGTTTGCAATAAATTTATCATACCATTTTGCTATAGACTAATTTGAGTCCCCCCAAAATTCATATGTTAAAGCCCCAACCCCAGTGTGACTATATTTTGAGTTAGAACCTTTAGAGGGTCATAAAGATGGAGCCCTAATTCAGTAAGATTCATGTCCTGTAGGCATAAGCAAGGGCTTTATGACTAAAACACCAAAAGCATTGGCAACAAAAGCCAAAATACACAAATGGGAGCTAATTCAACTTCAGAGCTTCTGCACAGCAAGAGAAACAAATCATTAGAGTGAACTGGCAACCAACAGAATGGGAAAAAATTTTCACAAGCTACCCATCTAACAAAAGGCTAATATCCAGAATCTACAAAGAACTAAAGCAGATTCACAAGAAAAAAACAACCCCATCAAAAAGTGGGCAAAGGATGTGAACAGACCCTTTTCCAAAGAAGACATTTATGTGGCCAACAAACATATGAAAAAATGCTCATCATCACTCGTCACTAAAGAAATGCAAATCAAAACCACATTAAGATACCATCTCACAACAGTTAGAATGGCGATCATTAAAAAGTCTGGAGACAACAGATGCTGGAGAGGATGTGGAGAAATAGGAACACTTTTACACTGTTGGTGGGAGTGTAAATTAGTTCAACCATTGTGGAGGACAGTGTAATGATTCCTCAAGGATCTAGAAATAGAAATACCATTTGACCCAGCAATCCCATTACTGGATATACTTAAAGGATTATAAATCATTCTATTATAAAGACACATGTACACATATGTTTATTACATCACAGTTTACAATAGCAAAGACCTGGAACCAACCCAAATGCCCATCGACGATAGACTGGACAAGGACAATGTGGCACATACACACCATGGAATACTATGCAGCCCTAAAAAAGGATGAGTT